AAACTTTATTCCTTTATGCGTATATTCATAAAAATTTTATTTTGCAATAAATATTCACACAGTTCGATATATATATATATAAAGAATTTTTGCAAACAAAAATACAATGGATGATCAAATTATTATAAAAATTTCGAATTCGTGCATACAACGTAACAAACTGGTAGAAAGGTTGAAGAAGAGAAAAAAAAACAACGACAAACGGATTTCATTAACCACTCCCTTTTGGGTCGGCAAAAACGCCTTATACCCCTCCCTTATCCAGCCGGCCATGCCATGGTAAAAGCTTGGAAAGAAAACGGGAGGGATGGAAAGGAAAAAGAAAAACGAAAATCCCTCGAAGAGGGCGAAGACTTGAAGGGTGGGAGGGTCAAAGTATTCCGGGAAGGTTGGGTTAGGTTGCAACGAGGCTTTGCTAGAAACGTCGACGTGGGAGGTAGGCGAAGAGCGAGGAAGAGACGGAGGGAGGACATGGAAGGTTAGGAACGAGGTTGATTCTCGGGCGAGGTCACGTATTTCGAAGCCAATCTAATACACTTGGAGAAAGATGAGAGCTGGAATGTCTGCTTTGAATTGAACGATCACGAGCGAGTAAAATCTATATCTTTCGAGGAAAAACGGTATTTCGTTCATTATGATCCATTAATTGAAGATGCATTTACATCTAATACAAATCTATCGTTTAAACTTTATAAAAATTCAAGGTAACAAGGTAAACTTTTCTTTCGAACTATTTATTTCCTTTTTTATGATAACAAGAAAAGAATAAATGATTTCTTCAAAGATTTAAAATAATTTTATTCTTTGTGAATCTATTTAATCTACTTACTTACTAGAATTTGATTAAATTCGATCTTTTTTTAATCAAATTATTCTATCTATTATTCTACCTATTTACCTAATCTATTATTTAATAGAAGAATTAGTTTGTATAATTTTTTTTGAAACGATTTCTTTGTTAAAAAAGATAAATTGAATCTTTTACATTTCTACAAAAGACGTACGATTATATTCTAACCTCTTAAATCTCTTACAAATAAAAAGAAAAATTTTAAATAAAAGAAATAATATTAATTTACCTAGAAGTCGTCCAAAATGAGCAATATACGTATACAATCCTTATGAATAGTTGTTTAAGTATGTTTCACGTACTTTTACAAACGTAAATTAATGTGAAAAACGTCGTACTTGGATCGAAACGAAATGACCGAGAATTCTCGATCGGTTATAAAAGTTCAAATTTCATGTAGCAAGATAGGTACGATGCGCATGCGCGAAAGATTGAGTTTCGCCTTCCCGCAGAGTGGCGCATGCACGGCGTGCATGTGCAAGCGTAAAATGTAACCCAAAAGTTTAGGTTATGTACCTAGAGGAACAAACTCATTTCCAATGTGTTCGTATGGAACTTCGGGTTCTACCAGATCCAACGAGCAATTCCTATGCCAACGACTTTCCGTAAAAACGTCTCATATCGTAAGACATTGTTAAATATATTACACCATTGCCTTCTTCCAGCCAAACCACCAACGTACTGTAATACATATGTATGCGAGAGAGCAAGAATACTCGTCGATTCGGGATCACGTGGCTACAAAGTTTTACAGTCTCGCGTGTGTTGATCACTGTCTAGACAGTTGTCTCCCATTGATGCGACTTTCTTCCTCGAGTATTGCGGGATTAAACCTAACCATCGAATTTCAAGTTTTATCACAAATTTCTTTTTATCTTATGTTTTGTTCGATCGATGCTTCGTAAAAAAAAATTCTTCGTTTTAATTAGTTAGTATACATATTATGGGAGTTTTAGAAGACTGTGCATTCTTTCTAATTAAAATTCCTTTCCATAGATACTGCATTATAAGCGTAACAATTATTTAGGTTGAATTCTCTAAAATTTATGAGTTTCGAATCATAAGAATAATATTCGTTTCCCCTAATTTCGTCTTAAGAAAGAAATAATTGAATTGTTTTCGTGGTCAAATCACTTCGAATTTTTTACATATGTACACACACAACAATAATACAAGGTAATGAGCGTTTAAAAACAGAATAAAGTAATGTCTCAAAGATAGTTTAGCTAAAAATAAGATGAAAAATCTTTACAGATTTTGTACAAAGAATATCTCTCTCCTTCCCTTTTATCTCTCCGTTCTTCTCTACTATTTCTTTATCATCCTCCTTTCGCCACGTCCTATCTCTCTATCCCTCGTTTCTTTCTCGCCAACGGTCGGTGAAATTCTTACATTTTCACAATCTCGAAGTTTTCATGTCTTCCTCCGAATATCCACGCCGAGTTTCCTTGCCTCATTCCAAAGGACTTTTCGGTCTAATGAGACTTCTCAAACATCGCTATCGAGATAGACTCATGGATGTATGTATATAACACTAAACCTTCGACTACATGGTTCTATATAAGGTACGTAACGTTGAAACACCCGGACACGAGGGGACAAGTGCTTTTACACATACATTCACGTTTTCTTACGTTTCTCTGAAAATTCGTCGACGCTGTTCTTTCCGATCTCTCCTCGCCTCGCCCAAAGTATTCACGGCTTTAAGTCGTATTCGTCGCAGTTTTACGTGGCCAATCTTCGCCTCAACAATGTAATACTCTTTACGTCTGGTGACGAATAAAATTTCGCATGAGAAATTTGCATGAGCAAAACTTCGAATGATCAAATATCTGATTTTTTTTTTTTAATTTTGAACGAATTGAGAGATAGAGAAAAAGATTTTGATCAAAATACTATAATAATTGGATTTTTAAATAAAATAAAAATTGTAATGAGAGTCATAGATATTTTTGCAAGAATTCCTTTGTCATTAAAATTTATTTTTAACAGGAAATTTTTACGTATATTTAAATAAAATTTATTCTAGCTTATTTTCAAAAAATCAAAAAACAGCTAAATTATGATAATCGTAATATCTAAATATTAATTCCAGATCATTCTGGATTAATTTTAAACAATTTAAGATTTCTTTATTTTGGAAAAAGATATCTTCAAGAATCTAAAGAATTTCTTTGATTATGACATAAGCAATTGATTAAAAATTGAATTAAATTCAAATGATCCAATACAGGATTAAAATAAAAATTATATTATTAATACAAATTGTCACAAACTCCTTCAATACAATTTGAATACGCGAAAATAAAATATCCATTTGCAGATACGCAAAACGAAAAATCATAAAATCCAACAAGTCCATTCTCAACAAACAAAAAAACAAACAAAATATTCGAATTTAACCTCGACTGGATCGAGTGCAATCGCGAATATTGCACGAATATCGCAACAAGTTGGACATCCCTAAAAATAATGACGGCAATACGGTCGAAAATAGTGATCAACAGCTGGACCAATCCTCGATGCAAGCATAAACACCGGACATCGCGATCGAGCCGTGAACGAGCGTAAAGAATCCTCTTTATGATATCTCCTCTCTTGGTTGGGGCCAGCTGCCGGTTAATTGAGAAGTCCTAGACGGTTCAACCACGGCTTCAATTTACGCTGTATGGATCCTCGAGAATCACGGGTTCGTGGCCGCCATTGGCCGAGGCTTTAGAGGAACAGTGTTGCTGGCAATGCTCGATAAAAGCTGCACTAAATAATCTGGAGTGGAACGCGGAGGAGGGGAGGGGTGGAGAAAGAAAGAGAGAGAGTTGGCCGCGTTATTTTCGAGTACTGGCCTCCGAGAAATTGGTATTAAATAATTTGAAGCATTATGCACCGAGGAACAGCGAGTGGGAGATGATATTTTAAATGATGATCAAATTCTTTTTGGAATAATCGAAGAGGAAAAGAGGTTTGTGGTTATTTATGGGTATATATAATTAGTTATTTAAATATTTTGTACACTGTATTATAGGGGAAATTATTTTGTTAAAAGCTTGAGATGTATTTTTCATAATATATTATTTTTCATAATATATTTCATAATGTATTTTTCATATTATATTTTTTATAATATAAAGAATAATGAAAAAAGAATTTTTTTGAGGGAATGAAATCAATATCTATCAAAATTTTGGCAATTCTCAATTTTGGATATAATTTCATTGAAATTTTAATTAAACCTTTTCTCTTATTCTGTTATTAAGATTTCAATTCTTTTGAATTTTGACTAGGTATATGAATATACCTATCAGTCTAATAATTACACTTCACAACAGTTGGACAGTTATGTCTGCAGGTGAAGATAATTATCTATAATGATTATTCATACACATGCACAAAGCGGAAGAATAATTTACAACTGCAAAAAATATATATTATAATTATAATATATATTTGCGCGCACATGCAATTTTTTTGTAATACATTATTAGTCAAAAGTCTCTTAAAATGCACATATTTTACACAATTCTTTTAACGAATTTTTCATTTTTGATATCAATTTTATATCAATTAATTTCAAAACTATATTGGAAAAATTAAATGTTTTTTTGTATCTTTTAATTCCTTCTAATTTTGAAACAAATACAAACTATTCTAAAGTAACTTTTGAACAAGAATGTACCTAAGTAATAACAAACATCGACTTGATTATGCCTACTAGTTGTATTTGCAAATAATTTCATAAACATATTCTTTAATTACAACGCTCATATTCTTATGTGCAACGCAAGATACGCCATAACGAAAGCCAATATATTTTATTTGAAATTTCCTGTATAGCTATACATATTATCTAAATTTGTATCTGATTATGCACCTATATCTCTTTTACACACAAAAACATTGCCTATTTCAAATATATTTTCACTATCAATAATAAAATTTCCATATCACCGGGAAATATCTCAATAATCTCCTTTTTCATATCTCCTTCTTCACCTAATCTATATATCTACCTGATCCTAATTTTTATATCCGGAAGAAGATTCATTCTACTTTATCAATATCTCCATCAATTTCTACATCATTATTCCAGTTTCATCTCCTCAATCATAGACTAGAATATAAAAATATCTCTTGCATCATTGCAAAAATATTCCATCAATCCTCTCACATCTCTTTCCCAAAACTCCATCCAATTTACACACCTGGAAATAGTGCATCCAAAGTAAGTGTATACTTTATCGTGAAAAAAGACAATTTTTTTCCAAACCTTTTACTACCCTTTCTGCGAGTTTTTTTTTTACTCTCTCAAGCATCGAGGAAACGAAGAAGCCTTCCATCGATGGTTGCAACGCCTTGTATCGTGAAAGATGGCCATGATCTCGTTTCTAACAGGAAAGCAATCTAGCGGTATCTTTGGAGAGGAGCAACGGTATCCTTGCCGGTCAAATGGCCATAGTGGAGGTATAAAAAAAAGGGCTGGCCAATTTTTTTGCTCGTTCTCCAGGAAGGACGTAACCCGGCCAACAGCCGCTCGACGCGGAAGAATTTTTTTTCATGCCAACTTTTTCCCTTTACTTATTCTATGGCTGGTGGTTCAGGTAACAGACTGTGCGTCTATTACTGTTCTCCTCTTGCTAGGAGGAAACGCAGCAGGAATTCTTTCGTTACATTCTGTGTGTTTCTTAAATTTTTACAGGCACGACGCTCTGATCTGTAAAATTTGTTGCAGATTACCGTGTGGAAGGAAAAATCCTAGAAGATATTGAAACTGTATCTAACTGTATTTCAGATTATCGTGATTTCTAATGTTATTTCTACTTTTATTACAATATATTTGAAATGCAAATGGAATGATCTCGATTCTTTATTTCAGATGTATTGTAATATAACGTTGTTTATGTTCAGATTTTATTTATCAATGAATTTTATTATATATTCAAGATTGTATCTATTTGAATCGTAACTAATCGTCATTAGTTTTTTCCTCATTAAATAATCAACGACAGTAAAGAGTTAAGTGAATAAGAAAAGGATATCCTACATATTATGCTCATACATTATTTGCTTACCATAAAGTGAGGTTATGTTTTATCAAAAGTGAGGTGCACACAACTGTAACTTGTGTACGAAAAACTTGACCACTTACTGTACATAATAACAGATGCAAAACTTAAAATTACCTTCTAATTATTGAATTATTTAAGAAAAGGAATAAAAGTTTTAAATTTATTCCCAAATTTCATATAACAATTCAAAACACATTTTTCAATGATGTTAAAAAACAAACAAAAAAAAAAATCTTACACTTTTAAAAATTGACTTTAAACCTAACCTCAAAACCGCAAAGAAGAAGTAGACACAATTTAAAGAAACGTGAAAAGAAGGAAAAGAAATTCCATGAGCGTTGGAACCGAAAGAATATCAGCAAGATGCAAGCAGCCAACGGCAATTTGGCAAAAGGTGAGACTTCCTATTGGAAGGAACGTAAAAAATGGCCATAAGGGAGGGACGAAGGGGGAGAGAGAGAGAGAAAGAGAGAAGAGAAGAATCTCTTAGTTGGGTGACGAAAAAGTGGGGAGAAGCGTGGGCGGGAAGAAGAGCAGCAAAGAGGAAAGTTCGCTCGATCTCTCGTGGGAATGTTACGATATTCGAGCATTGTCGAGGAAGGCCACTCAAACGGTTACGTTGCGAAGAACGATCGATAAGATCTCGGGAAGAGATGTCGTCTATAACGCGGTGGAAACGTTAACGGGCACTTGGAATATTTCGGTATCGATGGCTGGATGTATTGTAAACAAGAGGAGAAACGTGGATACATTTCGGTAAGTTCATCGAGAAGTGAGTTTTAGCGACTGTTAAATATTATAGAGCAGATCCGGTTTGTAAGTGGTAAAACTTGAAAATATTTATTATCGATGATACATTTACATTTCATTACGTATATTTATACCTGATAAATTTATATATTTTTATTTATTAATAATATTGTACACGTAGTAAGATATAAAGTATTCAAAATATGTTTATTATCGTGATATGTTATAAAGTGTATAAACTAGTTTTTCAATCAATGCTCGAAATACGTTCGAATTATTATATCCGAATGTAAAAGATTCTATTTATTTATTAAACGCAATAGATGATAATCTAATCTAAATCAATGTTTGATTGCAATTAATTCTTGATGAAATCTTGATGGAACAATTAAAGAAAAATAAAGAATTTTGTTTATGCAATGATTATAATTTATCATATTTTTAAATATTTTTTCTTCTTTCTTTTTTTTATTTTACATCTCAGCAATTTTAATCTTATATAAATTTACTAATCACATAAATACAGATAAAAGTTTTAATCCATTATTAAAATTAATTATTTTGGATATTCCGTGCATTGAAAAAATTGAGAAACACTGTTGTATAAATAATAACAGATGCAAGAAACGATTAATCAAAAAATCGAGGACACAAACTTCCAATTAGTTTAAAATTGTAATGGCGAAGTTGACTTCTATGTACCGCGAACTGGCAAATTTATTGTCTCATCCCTAACTACAGTGACAGTTACTTAAGGTCAAAGATACGATCATGGAAGACAGTTCTACTAAATCGACTTTATCCTGCTGTATTTTAAGCGTGATTATTTGGTTATTCACCGGCTCGAGCCGATAAATAATTCAGTTGGATTGTGAATGCGTGTACCGTATGTAAGGTTATGAGATTAATTAACTGGACAATAAAATTCTATCGAGTAACGTGAGTTAACTCATTCATGAATCTGAATTAAATCGATATTTAATTTATTAGATTGGTGCATATAAAATTTCTTCAGAAATTTGAAATTAATATTATTAAAAAGAATGCAATTTTGTATCGAATATATTGACAAAATTTGTAATAAAAAATATTAAAATTTTTATTACGAATCTCTTTGAATAATTAGAATAAGTTTAAAGACGAGAAAATATTATATATAAATATTAATCATATTTATATATTATTTTCACAATTATTATTCATAATTATATATTATTTTCACAATTATCAAGTTTCTTAATCGTATGATAATATTATCAAATGATATAAAATTTAAATCCAATTAATTAATTAATAATGTACGATATTTTAAGAAAATAATCTATATTTAATAAAATATTTCATGTACACCAATCTAATACCTACATCTCGCCATTCAGGCAAGGCAATTTTCGTATAACAAGATACGATTGCTGGCAATTCGCAATAAAAGACGAATTACGCGAGTGTATAACTTGGTTTCATACTGGAAGATCAAATACGAAAGGGCGCGTACAAATTTGGCGAACGAATGAGAAAGGGCGGATACGCAAGAGGCGAGTTGGGATGGACGCTTTGTATGGACGAGACTCATGAAACCGCTGCAACGACTGCATCAGAATGGAACTAGGGATCTGGTCACTGCGGCAACGCTGCGGCTCCGGATTTATTCATGACCGGCAAAATATTTCGTGCCAACTCAGAGCGCCTGCGGTTTTCGCTGGATTATGCATTCTTGGACATTTTGCCAGCTAAAATCGTCCAACACTCGCCTCGTTTCAACGTATTCTCACTTACACTACCAATCGAATTTTTCGAATCACTTTTCTTTTACTTTTCTTTTCGATAAATTACAAACAAATAAATTTTTTAAGGTTATAAAATGTTAATCAATAACATAGCCAATAAAAGGATTTAACGACGTTAATCCTAATGGCTAATAGAAATTGATATCAATTAATATTAACAATGATAATAATAAAATTCTAATCTAAAAGCAATCAATATCATAATAATACAAATTTTATAGACAATTATGTTTAAATAATGTTTGGTAATCTATGACTAGCAGAAATCGATGGAGATTAATAATAAAAAATTCTAACCTAACTTTTGATTCACGAGTTTTCAAAACAACATTAGCTTCTAGATTCTTTTTGTTTGATAATATACACATTATACATATCTATATATAAGAGTATCAATAATACGAATTATAAAAAAGTATACTCAATATATTATTATCTTTTTGAACGGATCTTTCAAACAGTGACAAAGAAATACTCGCGTGACCCGGAATCGTTAAACGCCATGGTAGCGAAAGAAAGCTGCATTAGAATTTCGCATTCCTTTGCGATTTTTCTTATCGTAAATGTTGGTTCTTTTATCTAACGGATCCATTTCAGATCGGATCTTTTTAGATTTATTGATTTTGAGAATTAATAAATTAGTTCTTAGAATTGTAATATTATTTCACTCAATGTTAAATTCGTTTATATGTACTTATTTGAATAATTCAAACAATTTTACCGTTCTGCAAAATAGAAAATGTCAAAAAATTTCAAGAAAAAATAGCAATGTAAAATATACTCAATTTCACATTCATTCTCTTGCTTCTTTTATTAATTTAAATCTCTATTTGCATCTTATTAAGAATGCCTGACGTCAAGGAATATTTCATATTTATTTTATGTTCAATACAATCATGAACTGTTATGTTTTCAGTATATGGAGATGGATTCAAGTACGAGACACGAGAAAGGAGTATGAAGAAGAAAAGGATGACAGAAAAAATTCGATTTCCAATTTCTATCACGTCAACTTTAAACAACCAAGCTTCCGTTCGATTACCTTCTTGCCGTCGTTCTTTTTTTTTTTCAATTTTCCACTTTCGTTCGAATGTCTTTCTATCGAATATGAAAAACAATAAAATAAAGAAATGATAGAGCCTTCGATATGAAATATAAAGAAAATATAGATATATTTCATTGGTATTTGTAAATTGTTTCTATAAAAAAGCATATCTTTCTAAAATGCTGTAAAAATTCGTATTTTACTGGTTTACTGTTTACGGCTGTTGAAATAAAAACTACCTACCGAAACGAGCATCGCTAATAAATTAGAACACTTTTTAATTATAAATAAGCGAAATGTGCATTTGCGTGTGTAACGCATGCGTTAATGAAATTGCATATTACTTTCGTATCATTTTCCTGTAAAATTCACGAGCATGAAATTCACGATTGTGTAACGAGATGATCTTTTATGGATAACACAAAACACAAACTTCGTGGAAAAAAAAAATGTATATATATATATAAAAATGCGTAAGACGAAATGAAAACAGCATTTATTTTGTATCATATTAATTTCGAAAAGACGGAAAAGAACAGGTGAAAGAGAAAAAAAAAAGAGAAAGAACCTTATTTCGACTTTATTTTACGTAGCAATTGGTCTTGAATGCCAGTTGCTTACAACATTGAATATACACGCTTCATATGACATTCTCGAGCATAAATCTTTCAGGATGCGTGGTTAATTGTACAATCGTGATAAATCAAACGATCAGCGGGAGGTCGTAATTATCCGTATGTGGACAATGATAAATCAAATGTAAAGACATAGAATCATAAAATGTAATAGCTTACGGTTTATGAATATTACGGTAAAACTCTGTATGCTGTACTGTTTGCTTCTTATTAAGCTTAACAAAAATGTCCGCGTATAAAGAGGTTAGTTTGTAACTGATTGCTTCTCTATCATTTTCGTAATACGTATTAAATCGAAACATAGTTATACAAGAGAATAATCAAAATATTTACATACTCGAATATAAAATTATTCGAAATAATATTTAATCTATTATGACTTAATGACTTACATGAAAAATATAGCAGATTATTGGAAATATCATTTCCCTAGACAAGCTTCTTTCTTTCCAAAATGTCCACCTTGAATTCTGAATGGTTTTCAACGAGTCATCATCGCGGTTTTGCTCTGTCAACGAATGATTCATTGCCTCGTATAAATTCAAAAAGCGTGTTTTATGAAGATTTAAACGATTTGCAACGTCCTCACTGATTCGAAATTAATCGCGACTATGAAGCAGTGATTCAACAGGAGCAAAAGATTTATATACTGTCGTAAAGATATCCCGCGATCGAATAATCTTAGCGCGCCATCGTCAGGAATTTGTCCTAACTACTAACATGTTTTCAGCTGTTAAAAATGAGAATGTAGTTTGTTAAACTATGACTGCCTATCCGTTATACTTGTGAAATGTAATCGCGATCACGTTTGATAAACGATTGATTGGAAACTAAAAAATTAAGAATTCTATTCGATATCTGATTAAATGAATACGAGAATAAAAATATCTTCCTTGATAATCATAACGCCAAATATTATAAAAAATAATTGCATAAAATTAAATAAAAAAAAAAGAAAGAATTTTATCATTTTAACTGATAAGACGTATATATTTCACCAATCATTGTCATATTTAATAATGTTAAATGATATTAAAACCACGATTTTAAGTAGATTTAAGTTCAAAGAATATTCAACTGTATTCAACTGCATCATAACTAATCGAAAAGAGAAATGAATGTCAAGAAACAAAGATGATAGTAGAGGTTAGGAAGTGTAATATATTTTGACATTTGCCAACGAAGATATAATAATGATTTAAAATGACTTTGTGCGCTTTTCGTATATTGTACTGTCTTCTTTAAATCGTTGCTTATATTTAGTGACGACTGTCTGAATAATTGTCATGCAAAAATATGTTTGTTTCTCATGCATTGTCGAAATGTACGTGACAAGCTGCGTGAATATAGCATTCGATGTGACACGACGCTTCATATGTAGGAGATAAATTTCAAAGAGAGTTAAGAACGAGTTAAGAGTAGATCTACTGGTAAAGTATAATGGAAATACTGACCTGTATTAAACCATGTTAGCCAGAAATTCCGATATAAACTGTATATTATTCAACTTCAAAAGTAAAATAGTCACGTGGTCATATATATGACGCATGTTACCACTCCGAAGGCATACGATATTACTGGACGCATGCGCGTTAACAAGTACAGTTTCACTCGCGTTCACGATGCGATAAAGATAGAGATAGAGTCAAACGAATTTTTTGACTGCACGTTTGCAACCCGTCGGATAAAATTTAATGAATCCGACGATCGACCCGACTGCGTGTCGTGGCACATACTGGTCACAGTTAATCCGTGCAGAGTTCCTCCTCTTCTGTCCTCGCATACACATGTATGTGTAGAATGCCAAAGAACAGTCGCGTATTCCTCGATATACATGACGAAGCGAATCACGCTTTGATTACGCATCAAGTTTAGGCGCGTGCGTGCTTATTCCAGCCGAAAAATATTCCGTGATCTCGTAACATCTCGTAACCGATTAATTCTATTCTTTCATTTAACCTCTATACATATTTTCAATAACTCACTTTCGAAACTTCGACTAATTTATAAATCCGATAGGTGAACGTAATATTTTCTCGAAACACAAGCTTTTGTGCGAAGAATAATAGATGAGCACACGCTTCCGCGGGGTTCACAACCAGATGAAATATGTAGTCTATGACATAATCGAAAGTCAGGCGGGCGCGGGAGCCTTGTTTATTGGCGCTGCCGTCGACGTCAACGAGTGTAGTTCGTGCCTACGTCACTTTCGTCGTCGAAGGTGTTGCTGTCGTGTAGGTGATATGGTCGTTTCGGCCTTAGGTAAAGGTAACGCTGTCTGAAGAAGCCTCAGGAAGACACGGATGAGGTGGGGGTTTATGAGTTTGCATCCTATGTACTACATCGTATCTCTAGTTATAGCTCAACGACAAAATCCACCTATATAAACCTGCGACATCACTTTGTGTATTGAATATATGAGCCAACGTTGATCTACATATAACCTATACTAATGCGTATATGCTTGCGACAACACCTAGTTACTGTATATACGTAATACGCATTACAACTATGGATATAGTTGTTTGACATGGTGACTAGAACGAGATAAAATGAAGACTGTCTGGTAGAAAGTAACATGATACAGGTATGTGTGTGTATATACCTACTTATATACTTCCACACGGTTACGGGAGGATTTTAGTAAAATTGAGTTTCCCCGCCCAGTCTATTTCCAAAGTAAGCTTCTGGCGCGTATTTTGCGTTGACGCCAATATGCTCGCCGTCGTCAAGACATGGTGAAATTGAAGCTTATTTTTTTTTCTTCCGCCTCCGTATCTTTAGATAGTTTATTCCTTCTCTTCTTCATCTAAAGCTTCTTAGATTAAAATTTTAACGCAAAGCTTGATGACTGGCCGAGATATTTTTAAGACTGGATAGTATCGCGAAAGTTATATTTTTTATTATATAATGTATAAGACGAAATAGGAAAAAACAAAAAAGTTTTTGATAACTATCTTACTTAAACTGGATTAGACTTGATTAAAATGCATAAACTCGTGAAATGTATGTAATCATTATTTTCTTAAACTGCAATACGGGGTACACGGAAAATTAAGAAAGTTTTTGAAACGATAACGTATTATAGCGATCGTTTGATTGGTTGCGTGCTAACACCAATACAAATATAGTAGGAAACATTTATACGATCGGTAAAGTAGGCTGCGATTGAAGTTATCGACCTATATAGTGCTGAATTCAGCAGAGTTCGTAACTAAATTAATCGAATGAATGGAAAAGAGTAACAATTTCTTCATTGCTATTTCTATCGTAAATTATTAGAAATTTTACAAAAAATTTATAAAAATATTACTCTAAACGTAATTATATACTAAATAATTTAGGAAAGACCAGATTTTTCACATAAAAAACTAATCCGTTCGTATTAATATAAATATAAATAATTAATAATGATAAAATTTTGCATATATCATTAGATTCAAGTATGAATTTTAAAATAGCAATATAGCATATCATTCATCGAGTTATAAAACAAATTGTGTGTAGTATCCATGCACAAAATGTATTATCCATTTTTTTCAAAAAACGAGAATTTTCCTCTCGAAAAATCTTTATAGAAGAGAATCACGAATTGTTACTTGGCCACGAATAAGAAACTCTTGCATCGTATCGCTTTACCCTCGAAGATTTAACATAACAAGGATAGAGAGTGGCTCGTTGGAGGGATGGAAAATGCTGTCGGTAGGTGGATTGGTGGGGGAAATCCTGGATACGGAGCGGCCATGATGCATCGGCCGACCAATCAGCGTGCTGCATCGTCCCGTTCCGGAGTAATGGCCGCAGGACACCGCCCAATGTAAAACTCGGTGGACGATACGCTTATTGGACACGAAGGCGTTAAAAGTTTTATTGCTCGGCTGACAGTTACACCCCGCATTTTCAAACCCCGCCACAGCACTCTTTCTCCCTTACATCGTAAAAACCGAAGCGCGGATCTGTCGTAGCCGCGGATACTGTGGAAAACTCTCTACGACTGAGAATGCCCCCTGGGCTACGCCCTATGAACTGTTCCTCCTATTACTCGGAAACTCCATTTTCTAGCTCTCACTTTTCCACCTCTCTCTTTTCCTCGAATTCGAATCATCGAATCTTTTCATCGATCGTGCATGGAATTCAAATTTCAAATTCAATTCAACAGCAGTTCCGAACGAATTTTTCTGACTTAACTTCGTTATCATTCCTCTTCAAAAATTTGAAGGAAGAATGGAAAATTTAATTATTACAAAAAATGTTTGTAGTTTCTTCGTTAATTTGCAAGATTTATATGATACATAAAATTAGAAAATCTACGATTAAATTGTTTTTAATTCCAAAAAAAAAAAATTAAAAATAAATATTTAATTTAATTGCATTATAAATTGTAATGCTGTTGACACAGTAAATTAACATAGGAATTGTGTAAATTTAATTAACAAACAAGCTGGAGAAGCAGTAAAATGCACTCGTTGAAAACACATTCGGGCTAATCCAGCCATCTAATCAGAACTTTGCTCAATAACGTTGAATTTTAATTACTCACAAGTAGATTGGACGGATATACTTAATTATTCATCGATCGAGTTGTTAATCATGTAAGCTTTAATTATTCGTATTGTAATAGATATGAGCCATCAATATTAAATAGTGCACGTTTCTCGTTTATAATTAAACGATATTTAATAACCACCTGCGTAATGATACAGTTATCTTTTTATCGATCAAAGTTTTATGCAAATATCGAATCGAATTTTAAATTTATCTTTCGTACAATACGAGAGTTAAATTTTTAGAAAAAAATCGTATTACGAAAGTTAAATTACACATAGACATCCAAAAATATAAATTTTATTTATCACAAATTAAGAAAAATAAATAAATAAAATTTAAATTTCGATTACCCACATCCTCTCGTACAATACGAGAATTATATACTATTAGAGGAAGAATAAAATATTAATTATATACTCAAAACTGATTTTTCGAAATCGAAGAAAAATAAATCATCGAATCAAATTTTTAAATCTCGAATAGATCGAAATAATTCTTCCATTATTAATTTATATATATTGTTTTAAGAAAATTATATATTACAAAAATTATTATAATAAACTTTAAACCTGTAACGCTATCTTGTACGAAGATTTATCTTGTCGTTTTTATGAGGACAAAAACAATTTAAAAAAAAACGAAGGAATATATTATTTATTCGAAAATTCGATAAACAATAAACAATAATCGCACGCGTTAAAAAGATCAACAGGCGTGGAACAGTTTACTCACCCCTTCTTCGATCGATCGATGAACTCCGATCTCCGTGACCTTAGGGCACTGCACTCTATTACAGTCAGCACGCGAATGTTTAATAATAGATCACTATTACACTACTCTCTTTCAATATCACAGATAGGGAGGCCGACCATAAATTTTCTTCGAGAAGAAGAATCGTGATCATTTATGAGTTACGCCGACCAAGAAAGGTTTGTACAAGTCCATTCGCCGTTTGACCTGGGTCAAGGACGTCTTGTTTATTACTCTCCAAACTTTCATCTTATTTTAATACCTCAATATTTATAATTTAATAATAATAAAAATTTATTTATTCTCTCTCTCTCTCTCATATTTCTAGATCAAACTATTTCTCAAATTTTTGAATTTTATATATATATATATATGTATATATTGTTTTTAAAAAATGATCTTTGTAACTCGAGGTACTCTCTTGTTCCAGCAATTTTTTCTTTTTTTTCCTTTCATTTACATTTTGAACGATGAGAAAAATAAAATTCGTCTTCCATAACTCCGCATTTTATTTTTCTTCGAGGCCAAGAGAAGCGCAGAGTGACGCGCCTCCATTAAAG